ATTTTTTTGCTCTTATGGAAAAGCCGGGAGGTAGGAGTTCAATTACGTCATTTACAACGACGTTTGCGCAGCTATTATTTAATAATACGAGTAATAAAAAAACCCGGACCGCTTCAAAAACCCGCCCGGACGCCCCCGGACGTCTTCAAAACTAGGACAAATCCGGGGAAATCCGGACGGATGGCAGCCCTAGCCAAGACCAAATGCCTAACTTTGAGGTTAAATTTCCTTAATCAGGGCATTTTTATTTTAAAGTCGTTAACTTTCAATCCATTTTGTCGATTAATAAGGTATTCTGACTAATAAGTCCGATTTCCCTATTTATAAGTTAGATTGACTTCAAAGTCGAGATCGATAATTGGTACATTGAGAAATGTCTGCAGCCTGCGGTGCCACGAACGTAAACATAATCTGCAAATTACAGCAACAATAGGTGATCATTTTAAAATTGTTGCTATTATTAAAAAAAGAGGCACCGCAACAAAAGTAGAGTATGCGTACGTTCCCCATCAGTGAATGAAAGAGGGATTTGTGTTTTGGCCATCTAATAACTGCCTAACTTTAAGAGACGACCCATCAAGTGCTCCTGAACTCGAGTGGAAGAAATTTAAGTGTAAAATTAAAAAAGATTTCATTATCGGAAAAGAAGAAGCTGAACTATGGGAAGAGGAGTATTTAAATGTTTCTTGCACTGAATCTGAAGAAACGTATGTTTAACACCATATCCATTTTCTTTAAATTCATTTTTGTTAAATGTCGAGTTTAATTACAAAAATTTTGTTTTATTTTTATAATTACAAAAAAAGAAGAACTAGTATATTTGTGAACTTTTTTGCAGCTTACCAATTAATCAGAAGCTTTTGACTATTAACAATAACAACGGCAATGGAATGATAGCCACGACAATCAATAACACAAGTATTGATGCACTATTTGACAATATTATCGTTGCATCTACGCCAAACGTAAATATAAATGCTGCTGCTTCAACAAATATCGGGTCAGAGCAAATAAATTTATCATTTCGAAACGAAGATGGAATCTTGGTTCAAGAATTCGACGATGATACATTCAACGCTGCAAATAATGTGTCGATTTCAAAAGATCAAGAGAAAGTGTCGCTGAATACTAGTAAGTATTAATTTATTTTAATGTTAAATTTTATTGAACATAATTATTATTTAACATAATATTTTATTACAGTATTTCAAACACTCTTGAGCATTCAAGAACATCAACGACAAATTGAAGAAAATCAATCACGCATATTAGAATTGCGAAAGTCCGACAATTTTTCTGTTAAATTGACACTAGATAAAATATATGATATGATAAAAAACTTACACGACGGGACTATTCCCAAGCCGATAACTATCAGCCACGAAGAATCAAATAAATCTGAGTTTTCCAGCAAATTCATTTTCCCATTAAATACTGTTACTGATGTAAAGGCGTTTAACTCAGAAATCGAAAAAAATGCGGATTACAAAACATATTTGGTTTGCACTTATATTTTATTTTATCAGCTATTTTAAAATAAATTAGTGGGTACTCGAAAACTTTTCGAGTATTCACTGATCAGTAAATATTGTGACAGATAATATATTATTAATTTATAAATTTATTTTATTTATTTACTCAAATTAATTTTATATAACTAAATTTGAGAGCGTCTTCCGCTGGTCACGGCTGAATCTTGGTGCCTAATAAATTTTATATGAATTTTTTAATTCCATTATTTAACCGTGTAAACTGCGTGCCGAATAAATTTTCGAACTATTACAACGCAATCATTAGCTGAGGCCAATGAGAGGAGAACAGAGACTATATTGATCTTTAATTCTTAATAAATCGATGCTTATAAGCACTTTAAAATACTAAAAAGATACTTCGGCGCGCAGTTTAAATGGCTGAATAATGAAATTAAGAAATTCATATAGAATTCATTAGGCACCAAGATCCATAGAAAGTGGTCTCGAATTTAGTTGTGTTATTCACATATGCTGTCTAGTTTAAATTATAATTATTGTTTAATTTCATATTTTTTACATTTTATTATTATTATCAAGATTTCTATTATAATGTATATTTTAAACAAAGCCATTTGTAGAACAAAATAGGCGAAATAGTTTTAATCTTTAAGTTTTAATATATTTACATGTTGACTTTTCTGCAGCTCAATACTTTCAAAATGATTGGAGGCACTGAAGGAAATGAAGAGGGAAAAACCGTTGCCAAAAATTTGTTGGCTATTCTCTTCACGAAAGAGGTATTGACCAAGTTTTCATGGACGGGAATCTTCAGAACTACCCTTACGAAAAAAAACCCTCATTTTTTGGTGTTAACACTCAAATTTGGGCGTTTACCATCAAAATTGAGTGTCCGCCGAGATCGGAAGAGCACACGTCT